TACGTATATATATATATGTATGTCAGGTTTTTTTTCATTTTTTTTTTCATATAAACTGGTCTCTCTCTACAGGTCTGATGAACCTCAGGCAGATTGTTCTCAGTAAAGCTGACCAAACGCTCCACACTAAAGACAGAGTGGACACTGCAGCCGAGTTTGCCAAGCACAGCAAAGACATCCTGGGAATCCCAGCCACACCAGGTCATAAACACATGTGCAGGCAATGAGTCCCATCACGCTTATGACACCTCATCTAATGAGCACATTAACACATCAACGACTATTTAGTATTTAGCAGCTTGACATGAACACTCATGATTTCACAAGCAGAGCACTTAGCTAACCACAACAGAGCTCATTTGCTTATGGGCGCTGCTTTTACACTTTTTTTCTACATACACTTGTGCTAAAAATGTGTTTTACTGTTGCGTTTGCCACGTCTCGTATCTTCTGCAGTGTCTTTCACATGATATGGCTGAAAACATGGTGATGACCCTGTTGCCCAGTGTTGAGTCCAGTTTCTTTTAAACAAAATATGAAGAGTTCAGATGCAAAAGCCTCTAAATGCCATTTGAAATTTTCTTCTTTAATGATGATTTTTATCAAACTTGTATATTTAAGTTCAGTAATTTCACTTAAATAACAATTAATAGGTCATTATCATTGCCATTTAAGTGAAATTACTGAACTTAAATATACAAGTTTGATAAAAATCATCATTAAAGAAGAAAATTTCAAATGGCATTTAGAGGCTTTTGCATCTGAACTCTTCATATATAAACCTTCCATACGATCACACCGGTGTGATTAGAACGTCATACTGCATCACACAGACTATATAAATTGATGACGTGTTTATTATTCACATCAGATACACATTGTGTTAGGAACTATAAAGTTTACTCTGTTCTCCCACTTCACTGGCCACTTCCTTTCATGTATTTCATGAGAAGTGAATTAATTTACGTGCTGTAAATCCGACAGATGCAATTCTCTGACTAGCACTATCACGCGTTATAGGTCAGCAAGCATGACCATTATAAATCTTTAAAGTAATAATAAGGTGATACATTCTAAAATAACAGTCGCTTTAAACTTGCACTGGGCGTCAGCTATAATACTTTAAACGTACGTGTGAAAGGGTTAGATTGATTTATTTATACTACTCAGCAAACGTCTCTAGACCCTTTTTTACTCTGGTGTCTCATGGTTTTAAAAGGAAACATGCGTTCTAATCTTGACAAAACATATTGTCAGAAAGGTCTGAGTCTCAAGGTTCCATATTTAGTGACAGAAGTAATATTTGGATAAAAATTTATTAATTTGTTATGGCAGAATGCATACAATTAAATTCAATGGAATTCAATGGCACCCGGTGGCTATTTTTGGTATAACGCCTAAACAAAATCTCATGGGAACTTCAATTTTTGTGATATCGACTTTAAATTTGGAACACAACTTGGTTAGATATATATCTTTCATTTTATAGTAATTTTATAGTAAAAAAATATTTTGTAAAATATTTATTTTATATTAAATTATATTAACTTCCATAACTTTTTCATACTTGAATTTTTTGAAGTGCTTTCACTTCAGGTCTATATTCCAAAGCATTCTTGAATTACAACCATTTAAGTTTGTATAGTGCATTTTAATGACAATTATCAAAAGGGTGGGTGACATGTAAAGGGTTAATGCAACGTTACTGTTTCACCGTCAATAGTACTAATCAGCTGATTGTCAAAGCCATAACACAGCGAGTGAGAAGAACTAAGTTAAATGAAACAATCCAACTACATATTTTACACCACTGACAAGGGAAAAGTCACTACTCACGGTGTCTATGGCTAGCTCTAGACGAAACACCCTCTAGGGCTGTTTGTTCGCGTTCGGCTACGATAGAAACATGACGTCACAATATGTCAAGGGGGTGCCCGTGGTTATATAGAAATAAATGTCTCATTCTTAGGTGATAAAACATAACAGTTCATTAGGTAATGTCTGTATACACAACTAAGCACAGTTATGGATCTTAAATTGCATTTCTGTCAATAGATCCTCAGAAATATTACACGTTGCACCTTTAAGCATTGATTTTCATATTTCTTTCCCTGCAGGCACAAACATGACGGCTAGCTTCAGTCATCTCGCCGGAGGATACGACGGCCAGTACTACAGCTACCTGTGGAGCGAAGTCTACTCCATGGACATCTTCTTCAGTCGCTTCAAAAAAGAGGGCATCTTGAATCCAAAGGTTTCACTCTTGTTATTCTAGCTTTCCATTGGTCAGAGTGAATTAGGAATTAACATGTGACTGATGTTTAGATTGTCTCATCATGGCACAGCACATTTTAATAGGGAACTGAGTCATCATAGCAGTTGATAGTTACCACGTGACTGATGTGCCAGCATTTCCACATTCATATTTCCATGTAGGGCATGACTCTTATCAAGAGTGACGCACATGTGAGTTCATCGCAAACTGCTTTATAGAGGGATTGTCTGAGATAAATATCATTTCTAATAATAGGTACCTCAGGAATAGTACTAGCTGAGAATAGATCATACAATTGTTGTGTAAATGAGTGAGTGTTGTGTCATAGGGAGTCATAGTATTGTTGAAGGATGAGTGTGTGTTGCATTCAGAGGAAGATTATTTGTAGAGCGCTTTCACAATATGTGTTGTTTCAGCAGTTTTACAGACAAGGCTTGGTTCATTGTCATAATTTAGATTAGATTAGACTTGTGAAATTCCAAACACCAGATGTTTTATGTTTCAGTTTGATAACTGTGTGTGTATGTGTGTGTTTTGACATGCAGGTGGGCCGGGAATACAGGCGCGTGGTCCTGGAAACAGGAGGTTCCGTGGATGGCATGGACATGCTGAAAATGTTCCTGGGTCGTGAACCGTGCCAGGATGCGTTTTTTCAGTGTAAAGGACTCGCCCAAACAATTACAGAACAAAACTCGCATTGACATCGGACTGTGAAATACAGGAAAGCAACTTTTCTGAATATATAGAGATCCAATGACACATGCATCCTTAGTTTTCATTCTAATTGTAGTGATATACAGAATAAAATGTTAGGTATACATTTTAAGTTGCTGATGTTTTGTTTCATTAATAATCATACACATTTGAATGAAGGTAGCTATAAACTTTTATGGAAACTAAATATTTTATTTAGTAGAAATTATATTTAGTAGGGAAATAATAAATAAAATATTAGGTTAACTTCAAAGCTTACGTCAAAGAGATAAGGGCTCATTTTGCTGAACTTTTAAGTGAAATGACAGTGTGTAAAGTGCAAAATATAATTATCAGTATTTCCATAATGAATAATGTATTTGCAATATAAGCATCATAACATTATATAAGTATGTAAATACCGTAATATGGTGCTGCACACGTTATTATAGACCATTTCACAAGATGTAAACAACACTGGTCCAGAAACACTTCCTGTTTCAGTTTGTAACTGTTTTCTTTATTTCACATGTAAAGAAAACATCTTAAAAGATGTTGTTTAACTTTTTGATTCAGTTTTAAATGTTTTGTTGGTTGTATTTTATCCCAGCTTTTATGTAGTGTTAAAAAACTGAAACAGGAAGTGCTTCTGAACCAGTGTTGTTTACATCTTGTGAAATGGTCTATAAACCAGACCTACTGTATATGCCTCGTTTTTTTTTTCCGTATCCACAAAGAAACCTTTGTCATTGAAGATTTAAAGTGTCAGTGACACCTGTGAACACTAGAGGGAGACAAACACCAACCGATGGCACTCTAAACGAGCCAGTGTTGAATAAAAGTTTTAGGCATTTAAGTTGATTCGTTCTTAAATATTTTATCACTGTTACATGTATGGACCATTTTGCAAGATTAAACAAAACTGGTCCAGATAAGCACTTCCTGTTTCAGTTTTTAACACTACATAAAAGCTGGGATAAAATACAACCAACAGAACATATACAACTGAATCAAAAGATTTTTTTCTTTACATGTGAAATAAAGAAAACAGTTACAAACTGAAACAGGAAGTGTTTCTGGACCAGTGTTGTTTACATTTTGCAAAATGGTCTATAACATATAGAGACTAAATACCACTAACTATCTGGTCTATTGCCATTTTCTAAAAGAAAATTACGAGCACTTTGTAAGACAGACATGTTTATCAATGCCTCTCGTAGAGTTAAAGCCATGCTAAAAACCAAATCTCGATTTTCATGACGAACAGTTTACCGTTGTAACATTATAACGCAGCACAACCCACGCAGCCAAACGTGATCGAGGCACATCCTTCCGCTGCCTTCAATTGGGAGAAAATAATTCGTTACCAGGTTCTCAAATTGTCCATTGGATTAAACTGTACGCCTATCAGCTGTTGCTCTGTGTTGATGGGGTTCGCATCGGCGCTTGGCATCGGCGCTGAGATGTGCTATTCATTTTAGCGAGTCGATTCGTTCGAACGATTCATTCCAAAAAGCTTGTTTCCATGTAATCCACTGATTCGTTGAATGTATCACACACTTTCCCCAGAAATACTCACGCACGCGACAATTTACGTGTTCGCTTTTGTAGTAAAATAAGATTTCACCGTGTCTAAGAATTTAAATAACCATTTAAATAAGTTTTAATTCATTTTAGTTAGTCGGTTGGTTCGAACGATTTGTTTTAACCCCACAACAAACCCGTTTTCTATTTGATTCACTGATTCGTTCAATGTATCGCACACTTTTCCCACGCGACAATTTAAGGGTTCTCTTTTGTAGTAAAATTAATTTTACAATTTCATTGTGTCTATGATTTTAACAAACGTTTTAATAATACATCTTAATAATCGTTCTATTTCATGAGGTGAGAATAGGGAAGTCCACACTGACCACACACAGCTTCTGGTTTTTCTAGTCAAATGATATACAGAATCGGATCGATCGAATCATTGAAAAGGCCAGTTCAGAAGAACCGATTCGCTAGTGAATCGAACATCCCCATTAGCACAACTGTAGTGCAGAGTGCAGATTATCCAGCGCTGCTTCACTGCTCCATCACTTCAATGACTGCTTCTCCGCTCCCCAATGTAAACCAATTATCCCGGCGACCCTTTTGGTCGCTCTTTTTATCATAAGGACACTTTTTTGTAATTTTATCGTCTCGTCGAACCGTGTTCTTTTGTATCAGCAAGAAAACTTCCAGGCAGCTGTGGGCAACTTTCCGCGTCGCGCGCTGAGGTGAAGAATGCATTAGCAGAGCTCGCGCAGCTAGCAGCAGCTTTCTTCGGCTTTCCTGCATCAAGCGCTGGGTTTCCTGGGGGTTTGTAATGTTTTTCCGTGTCTCCAGTCGTGAACTAACCTTCATGGATTAGCTGAACGATTTCTACCCCTCGTAAATGAAAGGAAAAATAACGAAAAGGTCCAGTTTAAGGTGAGTACCAGACATTTTATTTGTCCTTCAGCGTCTCGCCTCAGTGTTTTCTGTCTTCCTCACTGTTAGCCTGATAATGCTAAGAACGGCGAGGGTCGCTAACGTTACTTGTTTTCTAGTTCGCCCTGCGTGTAAAACCCAGTGTTTTTCTGTAGCATTACATGACTCAGGCTTTGTTTTTGTTGTGTACATAATATTCATAAACGAGCGGGTTTTCGCAATGTAAGATAGCGAATTAAGTATTATGACTGACGAGACATGAGTATGTGTAATGTTACTGTGTTTAGGCAGCTTTACCATGTATGTGTCACAAAACATCACATTTTAATTGGCTTAATGTTTTCGTATGGGCATAAAACGTCTTATTTTAACAATATTGACACATAATGAACATTAAATGTTCAGGTGCAGTAACGTTACATTAACCACAGTCTCAGTCACACACATCCTGTTTTCTATTCCGTCTCCTGTCGAAAGGACAGTGTGGTTTACGAGGCATATCTGCTGCAATCTCTCGTTTATTGTGTTTAATGAGTGATATACCGTCATTGTGCCATCACGCAGATAGATTAACGTTTCATGCCTTTGTTTCACAATCACTTCCTGCTCTGAACAGGTTCTGTAGGCAAAAGCAGGGTTTCTGTTGATACCTGGTTGATAACTGTGAGCAGATACTTTCACTAAGTGATCAGATTAGTTTGTCAGTGGTGTTAAAGGCTTTGAGAGTGTAATGATCTGAGTCAGTCCTGATATTCGAGTTCCGCAATGATCGCAACGTCTGATCGTTCTGATGTGGGTTCAACTCTCGTTTTAGGCCCCATTTAAACTCATGATAAAGGAATGAATGGGTGCATTTCATCCTCTGTCATGGGATTGTGAGAAATGCGACCAGAATGGACCCAGAGGGAAATGTCATTACTTGAATGTTTCTCTCTCATACTAGTTTTCATTTTTCATCGATGTATCAAGTTTCCTTGTACAAATTAATAGAGAAATAGAAACAATTAGTCACAGTGAAATCAGTTGATAAAATATTGCCGTATTTATTCTAAATTATTTATCTCATTATTTTTTTTTATAAATGTACCCTTATAATCATAATCAAAATTTCTTCCCCTTCCTCTTTGACATCTCTGGTGATGTCTTCACTGGCGCGAGGGCGGGACAATAACCTGTCACTCACATGAGATCCACCAATAGCAAATCTCAACCATCCACCAATTCCCCACTGACAAAATCAAGTCCCGCCCTACATTTTGTCTTGTTCCAAAATCAGTTTCACTCTTATATATGTGACAATAGAGAATGGGAAACTACGTCATGGCGCAGTGCACTCTGGGTAGAGTCGGCCATCTTTTATGACACGGTTGGCGTAACTAAGGTAAACAAATACACATGGATCTTGAGAAGATCGAGCACAAGGTTATCTACCGAGATAAGCTGAACAAGGAAGCAAAGGAGCAATTAACGGGCTCGATCCGTACAAACACAGAGTGGTCGACTGATCTGAACAAGCTACCGCAAACAACATTTCCTGACGTGTTTTCTTACCTTGTTTGTGGTGTGAGCGCATACAATTTGAACCAGACACACCTCTCTGTCAACAACAACACTGCAAGTTAAACTCTGTGTCGTATATTTCTTTTTTACTTGGGAAACATTTTAGTTAAAGAGTAACTAAACACTTAACCAACTTTTTTTAGTTAATGATCTGTAAGAATGGATCTTTATTAATACCAGTCATTGATTCGAGTAACTTTTATGGCATTTGTTTGTAAAGTGTTTTATTTCTACAATATATGGTGTAAAAACGTCTTAGTGCTGCCCTCTTCAGGTTGAACGGTGGCTACTGCAGTTGAATTTTCCTATTGGATGTTTGCGGTGATGCGCGACACAGCGGTTGTTGGTGACGTAGGCAAGTTCCATACAAAGAGATGCGTCTCAGGTGCACGCCCCCCTCCGCTGGGGTCTGCCCACTTTTCCAGCATTTTTCAAATATTGCCAGTGGGTGGAGTCAGGCTCTGACCAGGGGTTTAGTTACCCTTTAAGTTGTTTACTTTTATTAAATGTAATTTCCAGGTGAAACGCTGTTGTTTTTGTTGTTTCTACAATGATTAGTTTCTGTAATAAATCAGAATCCGGTTTATTTCCAGGTTTTCACATACGAGGAGTTTACCTTGGTATATTGGTGCTTAACCGTACACATAAATATAAATAAAGAACTAGTAAATAGATCAAAAGTACATGTCTACAAAAAATATACTGCAGATTTGACTTGATTTGATGTTTCTCACGCAACCTCCGTGTCCTAAAATCCCACAATGCCTTGTGTTACTGGGATCCGTTGACGTCACGATCCTATTCTCTATAGGGAAGAAAAGACTGGTGCAAGTTACTTCAGTTTCATGCCGAGTTTTGAGGCCGTTGTTGACATGCTGTAAATGTGTGGACACATTTATTCTTGCTTGATGAAATTTTCTTACAAAGCGCACTTCAGCTGTTAAAGAGATACTCCAGTGTTTTTTCACATTAAACTGTTATTCCCTTGGCTAAGATGAGTTGATGCATACTTATCTCGTCTCAGTGCGTGGACTTAATCGCTCTGGCACACAAGACACTTTGATAGCACTTAGCTTAGCCCAGTTCATTCATTAGGATCCAAGCAGAGAAGCGACCAAACACGTTTTCACTATTTAAATACATTTACATGAGTAGTGTAATTCGGCCAAGAATGGTGACACAAAATAAAACGTTGCGCTTTTCTAAGCGTGTAAAGTGGATAACTATTAGAGCCAGACCGATATTATCGGCCGATATTAGGCATTTTCCAAACTATCGGTATCGGCAGTTATAATGGCCGATAAATGAATATTTCAAAAATAAAATAAAAACGAACGAAACACACTTGAAGCATGTCATGAGTGTCGGAGTTGTATAATTTGTCCACCAGAGGGCACTTTACACCGTTCCTGTTGGCAACACTCGTTGAGTTGGTCACGATACATTGCTTGAATAACAATTAAAAGAGCATCCCCAGTTCTGTTAACTCAAATAACCATGACAAAATTTGTGACTATCATGTCCAGTTTAGAAAAATAAATAAATAAAATATTGGCCGATATATATCGGATTTTAAAACCGAAAAATATTTGTATCGGTATCGGCCTTCAAAATCCTTTATCGGTCAGGCTATAATAACTATAATGTATGGCGGAATACCACAGCAAGTGCTTGGGAACACTTCGACAGTAATATCATCACTCGTGAAAAATCCTCTCCCTCTCCGGAATGAGGATATTACTACGCCGAGTCAATAGATATCGAGTCGAAGTACTCACAAGCACTTGCTGTGCTATTCCGCCATACAATTATAGTTATCCACTTTACACGCTTAGAAAAGCGCAACGTTTTACTTTCCTACAGTAGGATCGATATGTGCCCTATTGTCTATTGGTAGTTATTACTCCATGTATTGTCCGCCATTGGAAGTCTCCAGTTCTCTTGTCAATAGGACGTTTGTATAACAACCTCCAGCTACCTTTAGGGATATATCAAATCCCTCTATTTCTTGCCATTTAGAGTCTGAAACTAATTGTAATGATTCAAAATGCCTCACTTTTACACAAGTATGATACAGTGCTCGCTTTCCAGCATCACAGAACAAATTAAGTTCTGTAGTTTTAAAACTCATTAACTTTCCTTCATCCACGGCCATGTCTCCACAGCTGCCCTTACTCTTAGATTTGGAAATTCAACCATCTTATTTTAATACATTGCTGTTGTTTTTCCTCCTCTTTCAACCACTATGTAAACTTTGATAGAATTACAGATAAAATTTCTTTTTTTTTTCTGCTACACGGAGTGATTTAATGCCAAGCTTTGCGGCAATATCCTGAGAAGACAACCAATCACTCTTACTCCAAAGATGAGATACTTTTATAATCTGAGCTTTCACCAAAGCAGCCTGCAGTGAAGGAGAATTCAAGATTTTCACAGGTATTGCAGGACTGTATTACAATTCCCTGTTCGCGAACAATTCTTAAGATATTCTATGATTTTAGGATTGTCTTATAAAAAGGAGCTGATTCAACTAGTGCCCCATCCTTCAAACAATGGGCTCTATGCACGGCGGTATTTCCGGTGAAGCATTAGGGTTGCTCGATAACTTCCGCCGATCGTAGAGTCCAATGCAATACCGAGAATTTATATTGAATTTTATACTCCATGGTTATACTAACGAAACGTTAGTCACAAAAACAGATAAAACAGACACCCCTCGTTGTGTTTATGCTTCTTTTTAAAATTATATTAAGTAAAAATAACTATATATAAAATTACATCTAAACGTATGTACGTTTCGTTTCAATGACGGGAGGACAGTAAATTTTGAAGACTCTGCCATAATCCCGTTTTCCTCGGTTCTCCTCCGCTTAAATCTCCACAACCGGAAATGGACGAGCATCCTTGCGTCAAATGCGGAACTTATGCGTGCATATAGCCCATTGGCGGTCTAGTCACAATCGTCCTCCTCTCCTCAAGAGACCACAAGCCACATCAGCCCAACTGACATCTTTCCCATACGAAGGTCTCTGGGCAGCTTGCAGTCTGTAAGCAGCAGCAATACTACATGCTACGTCAATTAGATCATGCCCTCCTGAAGAGGCAGGTATAGTACAGCAGGTCTCAACCAATTAAACCAGATTCAATTTTAATACTAACATATCGTAAAAAAGTCTGTCCAAAACTGCTGAGATCTGTAGAGAGAGAGACTGAAATTGATGTTTTAGCCCATTTCAGCTTGTCTGCTGTGAAGGGCTTCCTGTTTGAGACAAATACACAGTAAGACACATGCAAGAAATCACTGAGTGATGATCGTTCTCCTTCCAGTAGTTTATCCACCTGTGCGCTGATGCAAGGACCTTCCTGCTCAGGGGGGACTACAATGGTAGAGTCTTCTGCCTAATAAAATATCAAAATAATGTATATACAAACTTGAGATG